AAAAATCCCCATTATTTCGTTTTCCTTCCTCTATACCTGACACCTGACTTTACTGAAAGAAAATTAAAAAACTGAGGCAAATTAGGAAATTTCAAATAATTCAAAAACCAAAATAACAGGTATAATAAAAACAAGCAGCAGCAGTATTCCACAATGTAAATTACACATGTATATTACATTACATAAGTGAATTTGGAACAAGTATAGAATAATAACTCTTTTGGACTATTACAAAATAGCCTATTCGAAAAGCAGTTATTTGAACTCCAGGTCTACAATATAAAAACTCACCTTTTAAAAATTAGAGAAATAAAGTCTTCAGGGGAAAAAAATGGAGATGAAAGATCTGAAACTTAACTTCTACAGTATTTACAATGAAACATTAAATATGACAGAATCACAAACATTTTCATTTGAGATGCTTGGCCAAATTCTTATAAAGTCGAACCTTTGCTAAGGTGCTATAAAAACGGGTCCTGATTCACTTAAAGTTTACATTCATCCAGCAACAGCTCTAAAAAAAAAAATACTAAGAAATAAGGTATTCTATTTAGCTTTTTGAAAAAGATGTTGAGGAAAAACTGGGAACAAATCATAGTTAACTGTTTTTTAAAAATTTTGAGTCAACATACATACAAAAATATGCAATCAGTAATCCATCACAGATTACCAAAAAAAACCACTTCAATTGGGTTAATTATATTTGATAGATTCTACTCACTGTCCCCAATTTGTACTTTCTTGTGCAAGCCACAAGTTCCCTCACCTATAAAATGTACAGTTGGACTAAATGCCCTCTGAGGTCTCTCATTTCTAAAATTCTATGCCATTAAATGCCTCAGTGTTGTGCTATGTATTTTTATGTGCACATTTTCTGAAGTCATTTCAAGGATTCTCAGAAAGGTAGTGACATAAGAGTATTTGATTCCAGAATTAAGAGGCCCAGATTCCATCTTTATTCTGCTTCTTCATATAACCTAGGTGTCTGGGAGGAGCAATCTAACCTCTCTGAACCTCACTGTCCTCATCTGTAAAATGAGGGAGTTGGAAGCAGAACTCTATCTATGATCCTGTGATACATACTTTTTAAAGTTAAAGAACAATTCTGCTGTAGTTGACAAAAATCCTTAAATTTATAGCGTATATTTGCTATGTAAACTAATCTGATTCTTCTCCACAGTAAATACTTTTTGCACGTGTTTAAATGTTTTTAAAAATTGGTCATTCTTGAAAATCTGTCAACTTAGTTGTAAGAAATAATTTTAAACACTCATTTATAGAGAGGGATCAGAATTAGAGGAAACTAAGGTCTCAAAATACACCCCCACCCCAAAGTTGAATGGCTAAATAACTAAAAATAGGAATAAGACAGAAATAAATTCTGTCTTGGCTTGAAATTCAGTTTAGAGACTAATTCTATTGCATGCTAACTTGACATCTCTAAATCCTGATATTAAAAGTGTTCAACTAAGAATTTTTTTTATTTTAAAAATTGTGTCATGGCAATAAATCTGTATGAATCAAGGCTGAATATTTTACGAAGCAAAATAGTCATGAAGAATATACCCCAAGTTATCATCGGAGAACTATTGCAGCTTAAAGTATCAAAATAATTTTTTTTTAAATTGTGGCTTCAGTATGTTGACAATGTTGGATGGTGACTGAAAAATGAATGTTGTAATCAAAAATGTGCTTGAGATCAGACAATAAAAGAACAAGAATAAGGATTCTAGCATGTGCTAACTACATAACGAACACTAGAAACTACTGGAAAACAAAAAAGTAGGGTTTCTTCTATTAAAAAATATATCAGAGTACTTTAACCAATAAGTAAGAGAGGTTAGAGTCAAACTCTGATGGCTACTATTCTCTTCATGTCTGATTCGTGACTGCTGACTATAAGCATGAGGATATAGTTATTTAGGGTTTTGTAACAACAATCAAGCATTTATTAAATGCTTATTATGTTCTGGGCACAAAGTGCCATTCTTCTTCTGTGAATTCTGTCAACTGACACTGCTTGCTAGAAAACATTTACCTATATACACATCTGCAATTACCTGCTGGTCTATTTCACTAACACCCAGGATATGAAGTACTGAACAAGACATCCTAAGAGAGTATCAACTGTTTAAAAGAATTGTATTAGAAAAACGGGCCATAAACAAATATAAGGGCACCACTGTTTTGCCACTCAGCTTACCTGAGTCAATATTCACCTGAAAGAGGGATGAACTCAGTTTTTCCATCCTAGCCACAGACTTAAGACCCTTATCTTTGAGACCACACCCCAAATCAGTCATAAGATGAATCAAAGGCATAATGGGAAATACCCCACTTCTCCAACTCCTAGAATTCCTAGGGAATTGAGGAAAACTAACAAACATATTAGAGATGGGTCCTTCCGAATATAAAAGCAGAAAGCTAGGAAACCATCTTTGAAACTACCACTTTATCTGTTGATCTGATGCAGATTTCAACACTTGCAATATCTACCTTTTAAATCTCACTTGGACATCCAAATTTTGTACATGGGTTTGCTCTCCATTTCCTTTGCTACTACTGGTATGGATTCGATATAGAAATGCTAATTTGGAGAGGCCTGGGCTGCTGAAGGCAAGAATTAAAATGGGCAGAACTTAAGTCAAATCCTTGATTTTAGTGGAGGAAAACACTTGTAACTGAGAAAAATAGCTCTGATTCAGTACACTGATTTGATCTACAATACAAGGTGACCTTTCAAATAGTAATGGAAAATATTGAGTTCTTATGTATGTATCAGATTCATTGTTTAAGTGATAATTAAACCTTAACAAACCTGTTTCATGGTAATTTCTTAGATGAACTGAACAAACTAAAATGTTCCTTTTACTTATCCACAACCTAACCAGCCACTGCCCCATCCTCTGGGCTTAGAGTATGCAGTCAAAATCACATTGTTTTTAAATGATTTAAAGCTTTACTAAATTTGTTAGCTATAATCCATGCTGTATTTAAAATAGATTTTTAGGCATCATTAAGTCTTAGCACCTACTATGCTAGATGCTGGGAATATAAAGTCAAGATCAAAATATTTCTTATCTTCAAGGAACTTACATTCTAGTGGGAAGAAACCTGTACATGATTAAGTAAATTTTTTTTTTGTCATTTGAACCTGTGATTTCAGATTCATTGGTGTAGTGAACTCCCTTTATGAAGGTAGATCATCAATTCTTTTGAAATTGACAATTTTATAGGGTTCCTGGGAGAGGCTAAGTGACTTCTCTAGGGTCTCAGGGTATATTTACTAGAGGCAGGACTTTAAAACAGGTCTTCCTAGCTGAGATTGCCTCTCTCCCATTCCGTGTTGCAAAAACAAATATATAAGTAGATACAAACCAGTCTAGGAAAAAACGTTGGATTTGTGTTGTGAAGGTATTACAGAGAAAATTATCTTTTCTGGAGACAACAGAAAATCAATGAAACTTCCTAAGTAGAGAAGTGTGATACAGTCAGATACATGCTTTAGGAATATCAATTTGGAAGCTCAGTATAAGAAGGAATGGAGTAGCTGGATGCAGGGAGACCAACTATGTTAATAATATAGGTGAGAGGTGATGAAGGTCCTGGTGGTGGTCTTAGTTATTATGAAATTCTCTGCAAACCTATATTCTCTGATCCTGGTTCTGCTCTCCAGCACTACACAAAAGGCAGGGATGAGGACACTCGCTGAACAGCTGCACTCAATAGTTTATCTGGGGTCATAGGACTAGTGACTTAGGTGGGACTTGATAACAGGTCATCTTTCCGTCCACTACATTGTACCAGACAAAGACCTAACTCCAATTAAAATACCGGGGTTATGTAAATCTCCTCTCCCCCGTTAATGTCCCCTTCAAAATGTGGCACCTGGAACATTACAAATATGCAGATGTGCCTCCCTGTGCCTAGATACCATTAATGATGCTTGAGGTATCATTAACTGTTAGAGCAAGTATCACCCTGTTAGCCAACTCGTATTGATCTTACAGCTAAGATATGTGGATCTTCCACTTACACAACTAATTTGTTAATTACATGCAGAATTTTGCAGCTAAACCTATTTCTTCTTCCTGATTTTCCATAGTTCTACCACGACATGGTATTTTTGAATTCTTATTCTATAATTAAATTATTAGTTATTTACTTCCTAATTGTGGTAATATTTACAAATGAGTAACTCAGCTAATAAGTTTATGTTTAATAAAAAGTCAGAGCCACTATCTAACCCATGGATGCTATTTTTATATAGGCTAAAACACCCAAACCAAGTCTTTCATCTCTCAAAGCAGGACAACATACATAAAACTATTGAAAGGGAGGTTTAGAATGGAAAATTAAGTAAACTGCTTGCAAACTATACCTATGATTAAAAGAACACTGTCTTAGAGGAAAAGGCCACTCACAACTGAAATAAGCTTACTTACCTTACGCATGGAACACTATGTTAAAACGACACATAGTGTGCCATGGAAAGATCAGGTCAATTTATGTAAGGGTGTACACTTCTGTCTACTAGAGGATCAAACAGCCATAAAACCACACTAACAGAAATTTTTTTCACAAGCTCAGTAACAGTCAAAAACCAAATAAATCAGGCACAATGGCAGAATTTTTTAATAGTTATATTTCAAATACAAGTACAACACAGAAAATATTTCTATAATCTATATCACGATGCCCAAGCAAACTTGAGTGGTAGCAAGAATGTATTTAACATTTGTTCTTCAGCATGTTTTGAGCCTGTTAAAATTTCTCTCTTATCCCACCTTTTCTTAAGAGGCCAGTCTTCACAGCTACACAGAAGAAAACTTGAAGGTAACCAAAAGAGTATGTCTCTTGGTGTATGATCTCCTTGTCTGTGAAGCTCTCACCGCTCTATAAGGGAGCTTTCAGCCTTTATGGCTGAAATAAGTAAGATATGCAAAAAGGGAATGTGTTCATTAAAACTAGTTTCTTCCCCACCTCTAAAGCAGTCTCACCTTCAGTTCTAGCCTTCTTTATTCCAGCAGACTCGACATCTTCGAAGGACCGCTTTCGATTTGTCCCACCACTAACATGACTAGGAAATGCATTCTGATGAACCCCATTTAAGGTGCCATTAGTATAGAAACGATTCAGATGACAATTCTGGAGGTTTAAGAGAAACTGGGCACATTCTTGGAAACCCTGGGTTTGTGCAATTTCTGCTGCTGTCAGGCCACTGGCATTTCTTAAGCTGCATAATACAAAGAAACTGAATTACATTCCATTAGCAGTTTAACTTGGCTGCTGCTCCTGCTGTTCTTACTGACTAACTATCTGAAGGTGATATGAGAGAGACAGAGAGAAAGACTATACAAATTTACAGCAAATTTTCGTTAAAGAATAAGCAAATCATCTTAGTTCTTTAACTAACTTTTGCTCTTATACATCTCGTTTCTAAGCAAGATTTGGAAGACAGTGTATGAAGACAAAAATCATTATTCTAAACTCCCTTTAAGAAGTTATATTCCTATTTAACACAAATAGCATAATAAAACGCTCAATCTGAAGAATCAGAACTTTATACTAACTTCAGACTAAGCTTGAATCCTGCATTCTATCATCTGCCTATACTTATTTTATAATCCAATATTCTATCTTGAGTAAAAAGTTAATTATATAATCAAAACAAACATATACTAGTAATTGTCCATGGCATTCATATAACAATCACTATTCTGCCTAATGAAAAAAAAAAGTTACTCATAAGTTTAGGTCTGCTCAGAGCAGATTTTATTCAGATATGTGACACTATAAGTGGAAAGCTGGGGGATTACCTTGACACTTAAATTCGGTATTCTAATTATTTTATTATAAGACCTTATGTATTACTTAGAAGCTAATCTTGCATAGATGATTACTTGGTTAGATAAGCTGGCCAAGACTGTCTGAATAAGAATTCCCTTTGGAAAGTCTGCTTACTCACTTATAAATAATTCTCTATAATAGAATATGTATTACTTAAAAGAATCAAGACTTTGATACTTTCTTCAAAACACTAAAAGATAACACTAAGTTATCTAGTAATGAAAATTAAGATTGAAGTGGAAACAATAAAAATGAAGGTCTCAATAATATGACTAATTTTTTCAAGTATAAATTAATTTCAAAATATCAGGCAGTTCATAGCAAATGAAAATTTAAGGGAGAAAGCTATTCCATGATGAAGTTTGCCTGGAAGATAAGAATACATATTGCTTTGTGGAAGAAAAAAAAAACCTGTAAAAAAGCAAAAAATTAGTTAGCTGAAGGGCCAATTAATTAGAAAAGTATCTAATAAGCAAAAAACTAAATATTCTCCCTATCTATTCACTACATAATAGTGGCATGATTAAAAAGAACAATTAAAGATTAAGTGCCACAATTTTAAATGTTTCAGATAAAGATTTAAAAGCTCTTAATCTAAAATCATTTCCTAGAGTCACTAATAAGAATGAGAAACATCTTGAGGCTGAGTAATCCAAAGCCACAGATTCAATAACAAAACAGAATTTCACGTGCACAAATGACCACAAGATTTGTATTTTTCTTCCGTCAAACTTCTAAGAAAGTCTGGAGCTCAAACAATTAAAAAAGTAATGGAATAATTTTCCTCAAATATGAGATTAGATGAGAAAAACTTAAGATCAATTTAAATATCAAAATGAAACACTTTAGAGGAATTTCACCTCTTCAGTTTTGTTCAAGGATAAACTTTAGCTAAAGAAGGTGTAAGAATTCTAGAGAAAATAAAAAATCAACTTACAAAACTCTCCAATTTCACGGAAAGGTTTACAAATGAGAATAAGTTAGACATGTCTATGACTCCTGAGGCGTATCACTGACAATTTCACTAACTATTCAAGTTATAAAATCTGATGAATGTTATTAATTTAACTAACACCTAAATTTGAGGTATGAAATGGATAAACAAAGAAAACGAAGTTAGGTCAAAATATTCTAGTGGGTTGTTTGTACAAAAGGAGTCGTACAAAATGAAGTGCTTGACTGCACTTCAAAATCGTAATACACTAGCCCTAGGTAGGAAAGGCTGAAAGATGGGCAACATGACCAAGAATGTAAGAGAGCTAATGTATAAATGCATAATAAAAAAAGATTAAGACTCCAGCTTGGAGAAGTTGTATAAGAAGCCTATAAATATTATAAACATTGGCCTGTTCTCCAGATCCAGGAATACAAGAACAATGTGCCACTCCCCTCTAAAACCTGAGGACATAGAAATTTAGGAGAAAAAGTTAAAGGTTACTATACGGCGTACAAAGTTTTGAGAACATATGCCCTAAAAGTTATAAATGTTGAAAATACAAACTTAAACGATTTCAATTATCTCAAAGGTTAAACAGAAGCTACTTGAAGCTATGCTTGAATTCTGAAGTTGATACAAGGAAACACCATCTGCCTACAAAATAGTCTTCAATCCTCATCAAACAGAATAGTGGGCTGGATGGATCATGAGTTAGCCTAGTACGGTAATTCTCATAGTCTTTTAAGTAAATTTAGTATCCTAAAGAAAATAGCCCCAACAAGTTTACTGTAGGAAGAAAAGAGTTACTTGGGATGAAAGAGCAGAATAGTAAAGGTTATTGGACTATTTTCCTATAGTTCCCTTTCTCCTTCAAAGGTAAAGGACATGCCTTTACATAATTTTCACAAAGAATGGCATTAGCCTTTATTTTAGGTAATAAGATTAAGTCACTTAAGTCCAACTAGAAAGCTTAAAATGCATTCTGATTTCTCACCAAATTAAACTTTAAGAAGATGAGAAAATGCAAAGGAATTAATAGAATTAAACAGAGTTCTGCTGGTTCCTAAAATACTTGTAGACTTAAAAGAATATTAATCAAAAATAAATGGGCTACACAAGCCAAGAATTAGGAAAAAAAGGTTAAAATTTTATTTAGAAGATTTAAATTTCCCCAACCAAGAACAGATAGCACTAGTACTTCAGAAGTACTGACTGGTGATGATATAAGTTTGTTGACCTTCTCTATTAGTTTGATTAGAACTTCGCAATTCACGATTTACTTCTAATGTTCAATAAAAGCGTTATCAACCATAATGTTGTTAGTTTCGTTGTTTTGTACTCTTTCAGGCTGGAAGGCGTGTGGTACAGCGGAAAGAGTATTGGTCTTGGAATCATGAAAGACCCAGCTTCAAAGCATATCTCATGCTAGGCAATGTAGCTTCTGTAGGACTCAGTTTTCTCATCTATAAGATATCCTACAAAACAGAATAATACCACCTGTGGTACCTACCTCACTGGTTTGTGAGACTCAAAGAAGATTAACATACAGAAAGTGCTCTATAAACTTCAAAATGTCAACTATTATTAGTTTGTATTTGACAATCTATACATATTAATACATACCTAGTTCTTCTTTGCAACTTTTTAACTCTTTGCCCTTAATCTGTACTGACAATGGCACTTTATCACAAAATGTCCTGTTCTACAATTGCCTGTTCTCATAACTTAGCACCTTATTATATCAGCATGTAATTAATTGGGAATAGAATATCTTGTTCACTGATTATCATTTGTATGTATTGTCTTCCCAACCAGCTTATACGCTCCTTTGGAAAAGACCATGTCTTTTGTTTCTCATGGGACTGAGCACACAATGTATTTACTGAATATGCAGTTAAAAAAATATTATATTAACTATGTGTTTTAATAAAGGTTATGTAATGACTTTTTTTGGGTTAAACTGCAAATCTAATTTACAATCTCAATTCTTCAATCATGTCAGAGGCTTATAATCTTTAATACCCCAGAAGTCTAGAGGCAACACAAATAATATTTATTGGTAGTACTAAGGATTCATATTTTTTGGGGGTTTTTTCTTTTAAAAACTTTTGAGTGGTTCAATATATACTTTAATAATCATTCTGTATTAACAGTGTTTTAAAATAAACTAGGCAAAAACTGTCTTAACTGTATTTCCTTTCTTAAGATATTTCTGTAGTAGTTATATTCAAATATATCACTTTATATAGGATGAAAAGAAAAAAAATCTGAAATGAGTAGCCAAAGTTTTAAAATATCGTACCTTTGCAATCACCTAATCCAATACTCCTCACTTTACAGGTGTGGCAACTAGGGTCCAAAGAAGTAAAATAAATTGCCTAAGGTCACCAAGGGACTTAGCAGCAGAGCTGAAAGCAGGACCTGGGCACATGCCTGACTCCAGTTCCTTTCTTGTTTTTTGAAATGCTCTTTTCCCCCCTTAAAACAGTCTCAAAAAAAAAAGTATACTTTTTGTGTATTCAATGTATTTCTTCTATAATGAATCTATATCCACTTTTAATAACTTCTCTACTAAAAAGATAATACTCTAAAACAGAAATATTGTCATGAAAATACATCACAACTTAGAACACCCTCACACTTTAGACAGTTTGGCAAGAAAATAAAGGGTCTTTTTGGATCCAATGTCTGGTAACAGAGAGCAAATAGCAACTCAAGATTGATTCATTTTAACAAAATTTAAACTTGGCTTAACAAGATACTCTTTCCCAATACTTCTGCTTTTAAGAATTACCGAATAACTTTCATTTTTTTTAAAAAAAAAGCACTTAGGTCTTTAAGTTTCATAATTTTTTATAACTATCCCAAGATGATGTTGATGTCTATACTCTTAAATTCTAAAGAGGTATCTACTGAATTAAATTATTGTTTCAGAATGTATATATTATGGCACTCCACAAAGGGAAATTAAAAGCAATTGGAGCCACAGCACTACACAAAAGCTTGAAAAAAAGTTTCCAAGAACTATCATTAATGACAACCAAAGTGATAATGAAATTAGACACACTATTCTGAAACTAGGTCTCTGAAGACAAAAAATTTAGAGAGAAACAAACATGAGGCAGCTAGGTGGCGCAGCGGATAGAGCACAGGCCCTGGATTCAGGAGGACCTGAGTTCAAATCCGGCCTCAGGAACATAACACTTGCTAGCTGTGTGACCCTGGGCTAGTCACTTAACCCCACTGCCTAGCCAATAAATAAATAGAAAGAGAGGGAAAGAAACACCTCAGACTTGAAACGCAATCTGCCTTGGATTTATGTAGCATTAAAATAAAAACCTAAAAACTGTATTTAATAGGCTGTTTTGAGTTTTAGATAACTGAAAGTACTACATCTAATAGTCCTAAGGTTGTAACTGTCCTACAGTACTTTAAGATAAACAACAGGA